ATATTCATTCTTTAGCAAGGTTTACTGAACGTGTAATATGTGTCGGGATTCAGCTGGTTCGGGAGAAACTGTTATATCGGACATATTCATTGTCTCCAGCTGTCCAAAAGTATCTCGCCGTGATATGTTGGCAGGAAACAAGGATTTTGCTGAAGGGCATTGTTTATTGAAGCACAGCCAATATATATATCAAGCCTGTCTGTAAAGAAGATTAAACTTTTAAGATCTCGTTTGACAGCGAGGCAGAAAAAAAAGCCTATAAAGGTTTCTATTTTCTATTGCATCCTGTGTGATCGCCCAAATCATTGGGCGATGCGACAATAATTGGCATGAAACTGGGATTTCCTCAGCGTATATGACCAGTGGAAGACTGCATATAAGACGTTGTTGCATGGCGAATGATTGGCCATCACATAGGTTGCAATACAAGCCTTTATAGGTTTCTCCATGCCTCGCGCTGTCAAGCGAGATCTCAAAATTTAAGTCGCCTTTACCGACTGTAGTTATGTACACAAGCTTGTGCGTCGATACCCCATACCCTCTTCCCGTCCCCAAAAATGATTTCTTCAGGGCGTGCTCGTTAAAATCAAATCTGGACAGCATGCTGACGAGGTACTTTACCTGGCTACTGAATCTATATTCTGGACATGAGATCTAGATCCTACTGCAACTTCAAATGAATCTGGATCTGAATTTACACCACACAAAATTACATCCAGTGTATATACCAGTCAGAGTGAAGGTTTATATCATATGTTTCAGTTTAGTGTACAAACATGTGACCTAATTTGGTCTCTCAATAAACTCGGTATTGTTTGAGGTCCGTGGAAAGACTGTCCATACTTTCAGCATCAAACCTACATCTCTTGCATCTGATTCTGGCCACCAGCATCTGAATTGAGTATGAAGTTCTGCTCGACGTAGGTGTGCTTGCTTATATTTTGTTTCAGTTATGTTGAATTTCACTTCGATGGTCTGTGTACATGTTTGTCAGTCCTTGTGAGGCCCTCGACTTGGTACAACCAACTTGAGAAATATTCTACAATATACAGTCTTTATAATAATCGATATAAAGACTTACGTGGACTACGAAGAATACAGAACTATGTTTAACTGTAACATGGGCCACTATATAGATCTAGTTGTTAGGTTTGAGTCGGTATTTGTGTGAATGGAGCGCTTAATTTCTGTTATGCTTGTTCTACAGATGTCTATCAAAGATTATCAAGCGATACTCACATAACCTATACGACCTCCGCATAGGACCAAAAAATCTAATCTGTGCGGGATGTATACGATAGACCCTGTCGCGTAATATTGTTTCTCAGGAACACAAACTAGACAATTTGATCACAGTAAACTTAACGAACGATACGGCTTGTAGTTACGTAGTGTGAAGTTGCTGTGGTACCTTGAGATTTGAAACCTACGAAGCGATATTACATCCTGTTCAGAAGAAAGTCTGCTTGAAATTTCAGGTTTCCAGTACACTGTATAGTTCTGGATTACTCGCTGAAATAGCAGTACTGTTCATGATCATGAAAGATTCATTAAATTGCATAGAACTGATAGACATGGCTATGAACTACAGCCACCAAATTCAAGCACCTTGGGCTCCATGGATCCAGCTAAGTTCTAAGAATTTTTGTCATGCAGGCAATCTGAAGGCATCTCCATTAAATGGAGCCCAGAACAACTGTACCGTGTAGATGAATGAAGTAACCTAGATGCCACATTCTTTTGTCCTGGTCGCCGTGAAAACATGGCTGACTATCTCGGGCCGCTGATTTAAACTCTTGCTTTGCATTCGACGACGACTGTATCTGCATCTTTTGTCTCATTGCATCGTCCTAAGTCACATGTTTTTATGTTAGGTGCGTTCGGAACTTGATATTTCTCAATGCCTGTTACAGAACACTTACAGTCAATTCATACTAGAGCTAGAATAACAAGATTGCCATCTTGAGCGGCAGCCATAGTGCGTAGAAACAGGTGAATATGAATACCGCGTAAGAACATAGCTCCCAGTACGAGATTTACTCCTGAAGAGTTCATGAACTTCACATTTTTCTATATGTGTGGACATTATATCCACGCTGAATCCCATGCGCTTGGCGTAGGGTCTCAACCATAGACCTCGCGCGCCGGATGGACGGTGCTAGAGACAGAGACAAGGGTATCCGCGGAGTATAAGTGATTAAATTCTGTTGTAGACAGGTCAAACAACGTAAGCAACGAGCTCTAATATCTGCACGACACTAACTTGAAGCAATCAAGGCATCCAGAAAGTACAACAACAGCTGGTTAGGAGACTTGTGCTGTTCCTTTGGGCTTTGGGAAACCAAAACAATTTGTACATCCCGACTTTGTGGATCTTTCGAAATATAGAAAATGTGCGTTACAGTCAATCGCCAAGTTGAGAAGTGGACGACTGCAAACTTCAAGGACAATGTGGAGGATGCTGGTTTCTTATTGCGTGGAAAGGAGCTGTATGATCCGACCATAAACTCAATGGATTGATGACTCGAACATCTGAAAAGAACATCGACTGTCGGACCCAGCTATTGCTAGGCATGTGCGAACACGCGCAGCACGCTTTATTCGATGTGCAAAAGAACATATATCGACTGGAAATGACATCAGAAAGAAATCCAGAAAACAAAGTGTTTTTATACAACACTGTGAAGATAAAGTCATTCAATCCCTTCACAAATTTTACAATAGTGGCTTGTAAAACTCTTGGAATCATCTAAATCCACTGCATTTTAGCACCTGCGCACAGATAATCAGTGCAAATAGAGTTGTGTCGGTTTTTTTAAGGTTCAAAACCGCATGACTCGCAGTACTCACTACAAAAGATGTTGCAAAACTATTCGTAGAAAAATGTTGCAGCAGCCTGCTTCATGCCGGTCTTCATGTATTAGTGGAAGTTTGAACTAGATCCGCAAAAAATCAAGCCCACTGCAAGCAAAACGAATTGTGACAAATTTTTTAGTCCTCAGCTCTAGACATTGTACATTTTGTCGTGATACTTACGACCATGTGGAGTAGGCTTCAGAAGGTACAGCCCATAATGATTCCCTGTTGATTCAGTGACTTTTTGATGGTCCTTTTCTGTTTTAGGACCTACTTCTTTCCCTGGGCTTGGCCTCGAAAGCATCTGACGATATTACTGTATTTAAAACTTCGAAAGCTTCAGGTATAACACCTGCGAAAACGTTCACTCCGCATTTATGTATCATGTACCACGTGGGTACGGATGTAAAATTCGCTACATCACTGTATTACTCAGGTAGATTCGCCACTTGCATATGCACGTCCTACTGACTATGCAATACCTATATCATTAATTACTAAGAAATGCTTTCACAGTGGTGGATCTATGAAGTCGTAGTTGATCCACAGCCAGGGGCATCGAACCCATTTATCACAGGCACTTTCTGGTGCATTGTAACCCTACTCATTGATGATGGACTTCTAAGATCAAGATAGATCGAGTTCACGTCTCACGACTAAATAGTCCAAGGTAGTTCATAAAACCTCAACGAATCTCAGTACACTTGCTTCAACGAACAAGAATATCACAGAACTGCAGAAAAATCTGGAAAGTTTTTCACAGCGAGTAGATCGTGAAGTTACCACCTAAATTCCAGAATTTGCGTTGAATTTTTGAACGAATTGGTAACGTACATTTCAAGGCCGTCAATTTTATATTAAAATATTCCTTCCGTCCTGAATCTGAAGAAACCTTCACAACGACCTGGAATTGTACATTGGTATGAATAGAATGTGCTTGTGTCCAGTTTTGAATTACGTGGAGAGTAATGACAGAAACTACTGCTTTGTTTCACGAGGATCTGATACAGTTGCAAGTTAGAGACAGAAATCCAATCCAATCAGCAATCTAGGTAATTTAGCCGGTTAAACCTACGTGACTAGAAGATCCGAGCTAGAGAAATCTGGTCTTTGACCAGGGACCTCGCGGTGGACGACATGTGTCGTCCCTTGCTCTGCCACCTGTAATGTGGCGACTCACTTGCCAGCTATGGCAAAGGCTCTATCGGGATAAAAAACGTATACAGGTCTGTAGAAGGGTCCTGTAGGCAGTAAGCTACATCCTGATTGGGAAAGCTGCATACTCGTCAGATAACCAGAGGTCAGTGCATCTGTGTCATGCGCTGTGCGGGCTTAGTACTGTTGTTATCGTTTTCAGAAGTTGCAAGAAATATTACTCTTTAACAACATTTGATACTCTTTGTGGATCTAAAAATCGTGATATACTTAGCTTGCGTACTTGTTCGGCCTACGTTTCCTACTTATATGAAAGGGTCGTTCTTATTTTTCTTCTAAGCGTTGACCTAGTTTCTCTCGACTACTGACTGACCTACGTCCTTCTAGTGAAAAAACAAAGCCCGGTCTTGATCCAAAACATCTTGATGTACGTGTCATTTGTGGCACCAGATCCTTCGCCACGCCAATCATCTAAATGGAAGCTTATAACTGAACGTCGTTCCTATCATATGAGCTTCCACCTCTTAAGTGACACATAAGTCTCACACGAATTCTTGACTGGCGGTTGCTCCATGGAGCCCTATTTGTACCCAATTTTGCGCCATATGCGTGTCTGCGAATATGAACACGTCTTCTCACAGGCCTCAGTCTAATTGGTTCCTCTTTCTGATGCAATCGAACTTCTTCTCCTTACAAACAGTCTTTTGGCCATCCATACCTTCCAAGTGATCAACAAGAACACAGGCTTGTGATCCTGGTCACTTTGAATCAACTGTGACTTACTACAGCAAGAGCAGCGTCATCTTTCAAAACAGTGATCGCACTAAGAAGCTAGAATTATTCCTTCAAAGTCGACTTGTTGACAGAATGATTCAACGATTTGTCTTGCAAGGTTTCTAAATATAAAGTCCGCGCTTGAAGACTCAGCCTCAGTCTCCAGTTGGCTAAGCTGCAAAGCTCGCCATGTGGCTTGCATGATACCGATGGCTTAGCAATGCTTGAAACTCAAGATTCGCCAAACATGGATTTTCGGCTATAAGAGTGCTTACCAGATCGACAACAATTGACATGTCGCTAGTCTCAAACTGCAAGAAAAGAGAAAAATATCCTTCAAACCGCCTCAAGCTAGCACACCGAACCTGATAGACTTCTGACTTACAGGAGGTTACCCGAACTCGATACTTTCACCTTCGAATCAGCTGTTCTTCTATTGTAAAGCTTCAAGAAAACAGGTCGTACATGTTTGGAGCTCGGGCCGACACTGCGTTTCCATCTACCTAGAGCAAGCGTATTATTAGGCTTCATCGCAGAAAACGTTATCGTAGAATCTCCTGCTTTGATATTCGAATTTTTGTTGTAGGTCTTTGAACTACGTCTCATCGCCTGGATAACGTCGACTGGTGCAATAATGGCGCCCATCATGAAGATTGCTTCTACTTGCCTCTGTGTTGCCCTACTTTTGTCATCACTGTCGCTCTTCCAATCAGCAGAAAATCCACAGGGTGCTCTCTCTTATCCGATCAACTCAAGCGTTAGGTTCAGGTCTTCCGGGAATTTGTCTTCTCAAGCTTTGGTCTTATCTTCTGCAAACAACGGATTCTACTTAGCAGTACAAGGGAATGGTTCTGATGCCAACAGTGGGGAATACCTCTGCTGGCTGTCAGTGATGGATCAGACGGATCCTGTGAATCACCTGCAAGTTTGGCGAGCACCCTGCGACCCAGTGCTACAGCGCGTGAGCATGAACGATTCGTGTTACTTTGGTATTACCAGCGCAGGCGATCTGACATTGGTCGTAGGACAGTCGTTTGTAACTGGAACGGTCACTTACAGCAGCAACACTTCGACGCTCGGTGTTAGTCACGCAGTCCTCAGTGACTGGGGCCGCATTCTCCTGCAAACCGTGAATAATGCCACCGTCTTCACCACTGGTGATACCCCGTCTCCGGCTAGTTGCTTGGGTCCCTTCAATTTGTGAGGCACTCGACAACTTCGCACGAGAAAGAGGATCAGAAAGGCGTTCAGCTACCGTGAATTTTTTTCTTTCCTCGATGTGAAATTCTTAAACCGTTGCAGTAGCGAGAGATCTAGAACGACCGGGATAAATTACTTGTTTCAGGGTCTACATCTGTACCAGCTCAAGTTACATGTACAAGAGAGATCGTCGGAGCTGTATCGCCAAGCATATGCACATACATGACATATCTGAATATACACTGTTGGCTGGACACGGACTTGGAGGTCGGTATATCTCCTTATGGAGACTACAACTGCTGGTGATGTGTAGCTGTGGTTTCCGGTTCGCCCTCTGCTCACACTGCAATGCCGCCAGCTGTAAAGAGGTGCGATTTGGTCGAGGAAAATGATCGGTAGGTGGAACCACATGTGTGTCTCAGAATTGGAGTCGTTGTTGCTCCAGGCACGCTTGGAAAGCTAGACACCCTGTAGGGAGGGAAATTCAAATCCAGAATTGGGATGACCTAATTGGTATAACTTAATCATAAGAAATCTGGAGATCACTGTAAGGATATGTTCATAGCATAGATATATTTTTGTTCCAGTCGATAGGAAGTGTAGATCTGCCCCATTGGCCGTATGACCACAAAATCCAAATAAATCGCATTGATGCTTGGTTTTTGCAAGCGAAGCACCGTCCGTTTCACACTTCACGGCCTCGCAGTCCTCGCAGAGTTCGCGTTTCGCGTTTTGCGCGTTGACTACTGTTCTTCCTCATGTATCTCTCTCGGCTGGAAAACAGTAAGAGCCAGATGTCCTCTGGAGCTGTGGCCATGTACAGCATCGTAGCACAAATCCGAAGTCAGCTGGGAAACTGTTAAACTGAGGCAATGGACAAGGAGCTCGTACTCTTGAGTTCACAGAACTCGGCACGAATCAGCGCCTAGAGAAACCATTCCGGGTTAGTACTTTGTTCACATGTTTTCTAGAAACTGGCGCTCTCAGTCGGCAGTCTGTACAGGATAGAATCTTGTGTGACTTGCGAATGGCCTTGGGAACTGAGTTTGTTGGCTTCTTGTAAAAAAGTTGCCGAGATATGCACCCCTTCACAGAACTGACTACGCGCAGCTGAAAGCACAGCCTCCATAGGCTATTTTTCCGAGAATCTTTGGGTGTCAGAAACTTGTGGGTGACAAACGATCGGTTTTGAAGGCCCGTATGATTGATAACTGGCTTCTGCAGACCTCAGTGTTACCTAGATCTGCGTTGACCACGCCAGCTCTCTTAACTCAGGCCATCTGTCCTCACTGAAAACGTGACGCGCTAGCAACTCGTCAAGCAGACGAAATGCTCTAAAATTTCCATCCGTTCTTTTCATCACACGGTCATTCAATCGTAATAAAAGGATAAAGTAGTTAGTTTTTCAACCCCTGAAAACATTGAGTATGACTTCCATTGAATTGGTCTATAGTCTGAGGAATACTTGCACTCCGTGACCTTGCCTACCGGTAACTAAAACATTTCAAGACACGAGTTGCTGCACCGCATCAGCCCATTTTCCTTTTTGCTACGGTTTTGTTGCTGACTAGAATATGCACGTTGACGAGCAAGCAGAGGGTATATTGCAAAGTAGCTTGAATCATCATAGATGTGTCCTTGAAGTAATGCTTGATGCATCGCAAATCCATCTTGCTTTCTCGCACTTGATTGGTGCAAAAGTAGGCCTACCCTCCAGGAAACGAGAATCATAGTTCAGCTACTCCACAAGGAACCGCTGTTTCTTTGTGGCAAACATACGATTTAAAATAAAGTTTGACTTTTAGAAAAATCTTGGGGAAATATAAGGTGGCGATTGCTGTGAATCTTCGTCTGACTGTCTGACTTCTGAATTTCGGTGAGAGCATATATTGCCGAGAATGATGTTGGATTGTTACATCAGGGATAGTGACATTATCTGAAAAGCAGTGCCGGCACCTGAAGAACAATATAATAACAAGCCTTCTCCTATCGCTACTTTTTACAGTCTGATTGATTGATCGGACCCTCCACATATGAAACTGGACAGCAAGTAAATGTACTACATGAACCTGAAAGACCACCGTTGTGTAGCCTTTAGTCATAAGTGTCAATCGTGTGTATCCATGCCAACGTAAATAATAGTATCTTTTCCTTCTACCTCATACTAGTTTGTCGCTTGCCCAGCCCCTGTCACTAGAGCGTGCCGAATATAGAGACAACAGACTGACAATTTTCGTTTCTCTAGAGGTTTAGTAACCGCTATGGTCTGAATGGCTTACCAAGTTATCAACCAATGGCATTTGTGGAAAGTTGCACCATCTCCATTGAATGTTGTACCAGTCCGATCTTGAAACTCGAGGCTCTACATGCTACTACGAGCTTTAACTGTTCTGCTTTTGAGGACTCAGTTCACATTATGGACTACATGTGTAGTATGCGCCGATTGCGAAATGTCAGAGTAGATGCACACTGCAACCGGTAAACAGGATGTCAGCGTCGAACCTGAAGTTCCATGGCCTCATCTCCTATGTCTTTGAAGTTGGCGTAACCTACCACTAGTTACGTCCCTGGCATAGAGGTGCTCTAGACTCTGAATGTAGTTCAGGATGCACTGAAACATAATGGCCCACCTTAGCACAACACATGTCAGGTTCCTCGCCTGTTTCAATCAACGTAATTGGAGGCGGGTTCCACGCAAATAAATTCTACTCTCGCTCTTGTTCAACATCTCTGACATTGAACAGGCTGCGTCATATGTAGTGCATCATAAACTTTTGACATCTGCACTTCAAATTCAACCTGGTAGATGAGACCAAAATTTCATTGCACTAGAGAATATAGCCAATTCAAACACTGAGAACCGTGTTTCAAGATGATTCTGTTTCATACATGATTTTACGAAAAAATGAGTTCAATCAGAATGAGCACAAACAATCATTCACCCAGTAATGTTATGAAATATCAATTAGTTAAGAGAAATTGCAAATTTTACCGACTCACGTAATTCATTTTTATTTGTAACATGAACACCTTATTCTAGGTTATTGTATCATTCTTTTGAAGATTAAGATGAACAAAACATACTCAAAAATTGCTGATTTTATCAGATCTCTTCATCCTTGAGCAGACGCTGACATCTTGACTTCTCCATACACCGTCAGCCAATATAGATCAGTTCATGTAGATTGTCGAAAAGGATTATTTTTATAAAATGTGGTATTATTTCAGGTATTACTTAAGAACTCTAGTCAGGAATTTTTATTATATATAAGCCGGAAACTATGTTTACTATCCTGAAGAAAGCTGCTCACGAATATTCTGCTACGAATGACAAAATCGCTTGCTATTCAGCTTGTTGGAAAACTTCCCGATCAAAAGACTTCGAGAAGTGATATTTTTTCTAAACTCCTCAAACATCATCTTAGAAGGAACAAATAGTATGGGAGATTGATGGAAAAGTTAACTGTTATCAGGACACTCAATCTCCACTAGTATCATGCACGAGTAGTGGCAGGCATGCGTGAATGATGTAATTTAACGTAGATACGTAATGAAGAGAAATCCAGTTTTGAAGTACCTTGAATTTTGAGTCTCTGCGTGTATTATAAGACAAACATTGGCATCAAATTACAACCAGACCTGTACAAGTCGATCCCATCGTCCTGCCTTTACCAGATGGGGACTAGCTCACCATTTAATGGAGAAATTTATCTCTTGAAACTTCATAACATTCCTTTCATCATTCCAGAGGATTGTTCCTCGTACTTCAAATTTGGAAATGACATTCTTTTACATTATCTACGTCGCAATGTATCTCTGTACTATCACACTAAATCAGAATTTGACCACAAAATTTAAAGAACTATGTTCCTACTCTCTATCTGACAACTGATAGTGATCCTGATGTGGATTTCACTGAAATTTATACATTGTATTTCAATTTCTTTTGAGGCTTGAAATCGTCTCTCATGATAATCATCTTGAGACTGTAATTTTCATTTCAGAGGACTAATTTCAATAAACTCCAATCCATTGCCATCAGGATCGCGACAGAATATTGAGGGCACCATGCTGTGCTGGTACGGTATCCCTTCAAAAGAGAAATGAGGGTGTACGTTATACAAAGCTTGTAGTCTGAACCACATCAAATCGTGTATATATACAACTGCAAACACATTAGAAAATTCAAGGTCAGCCTGAAATCCCAGTTTGCAACTACTATATGCTCACCTGCTTTCTCAAGTGTTTGTCGAAGACCTTCAACATTCTTGCAGTTTAAGCATGCATGTCTGTCGAAACCACCATGCCCAGGCCGACCGTGAACTGGATCAGGGTTGGGAACCTCCATGATATGAATACCCTCAGCTCCCAAAAGTAACCAAGCTCCTCTATACGGAAGCTCTGGTCTATCTGGACTAGTCATCAAACCTATTGGAATGAATAAAAGATGGTTAGCTATTTGATGAAAGCGGTTCGTTACTCACAGATTGCTGGAATGCATCCTTCGCTGTATTTCATTTCCTCCTATGTCTAAGACTGACATAACTGTCAAATTAAATGGTACACATACCCAAAAGTCCACAGTAAAAATCCAACGATTTCTCCAGGTTCTCGCAACAAAAGGCGACATGATTCAGCCCTGTGAACTGGACTGCAATACCCAAACGCACGTAGAATTACTTCGCAGCCATCCATGCACTAGTTGATTGAATAAGAAGAATGACATTGTTTCATGAATAGTATTCATATTGATGAATCAAATATATCTGCAAGTTTTTCCATCGATCGAGTTTGGCACCAATCTCTTTCCCTTGATAATATGGAAAAATGAATGAAAACAGACATGATTGTATGTGACTACAATAAAATTTACTTACATTTGGTCGACTGTGACAATCTACGAATGAAAATTTTGCTGAAAATTTATCTGTAAATGCTGAAAATGATGAGAAACTTCACAGGTGTGGAATAGAAACGAACATGAAGGAGAAACCGTGAGAGATTTCGAGTGAACATCTGCAGGCTCTTTTGAAGATTTTGTATCTTTGAAGGTTGGAGGTGCTTCCTCTTCAGTATTTTCCATCGGCAAATTCATGAAGTCTACACTGTTGTCGCGTTGAAATTTCTCCTCTGGTAAAGACACACCATGAACTGCCCCACGGGAGCCCAGGTCATGCTCAGTGGACACAGATCCTTCTTCCGCTCTTCCTTCGTCCTTCAACATGTCCAATTCTTCAGGTTGATGGTTCTCCGCTGCTATGGCAGTTTTCATGAGTTTTTATGTGACAGTGGAGCTGAATTCATAGTCCCATTCTTATCGTATGTCATCAACTCTAATATCGCCCAAGTGTTCACTGAGCTCAAGGGTTCCTCTATATACTATATTTGGGTCCTAGGGACCAGAGCCTAGGGGCTCAGCTGCCTTGAACAGTGAGCGTAATACTGCACGCATTCGCAACGGACTCCCATGATCAACATCATCGGCAGATCTGTCTAGTTCCATCTTGGGAAGATCCTTGGCATCTTCTGGAGAAGGTTCACGTGTAGATGCTTGGACGGGAATTTCGAGAAGCTTTGCGCATGATAGTGCAGTCTCATTCTTGAGCAGTACTTGATAAGGTGCCATTGCAGTAGTATGGTCAGGGAACCTGTTGCTAGTAAGGTGCTCAACCTGAACAGATGAACTCATGATCTACTTATTTCCTGCGTCACCACCTATCAGTCCACTCTCGGACTGGAAAGCAATTCACTTTATGGTCGTAGGCTTGCTAGGTTGTGAGTGAAAGCAGCTGATTTGGCGCTGTCCACACTAGACGTCACAGCCGCTGAGGCTTGAAAGTCGAAGCGTGATCTCGCAAATCGAAGAAACAGCGCATGCATCTTTCTCTCATTGCCTCGTGAGCACACACTCAGAGATCAGCTTGATTTAAAATACTTACAAAATGAGTCAGTATTTTGAAGTGCTGTCAACTTCGAAGCGTCAGAGACTTACTAAGCTTGCTATCATGGAAAGAAACAGAAAAGAGATTGAGTATCCTGCTAATTGTGAAAACAAAATACCGACTATGTTTTCCTTTCAAAGACAAGCAATACTTCATAAAAGTGATGAACACATCTATGTATTATCGGACATAAATTCAGTTAAAACAGAACGAAAGCCACTTGTCAACTAAAGAGAGGTGACCGATGGATTAGTTTGAAAATCTGTCTTGACCAAGGGCTTGTTGCTGATTGTATTTTGACCAGGAAGGACCTGCGGTTGTTGGGCAGTGTACTATACATGGGCCAGATGAAAAGACAAGATTCTCAAGTCTTGAATTGGACCAAGACTAATAATATGTAGCACTCAAGAACTAATTCTTAAGTTAAATATATTCCTCCTTTATTGAATTTGTAGATGCCCGCTGACTTGAGGCTTGTGGGAAAAGGGTGGAAAAGAATGATTGTTTTTCTCAAATACTAATAATAGCCTCAGAGTTTCGATTCTTTTCGTATAACAGTCATCTAACTTATGTCCTACTTCTCTCCACTGGCCATCAAGAAGGATACAATTTGAACTTGGAAATGGATAAAGAAACTGATTCAGAAATTTTATGCACCAAATTTTATTACATGCTCTTTGTAATTATGCTCCTCTCATCCTTATTCTTGGTTTCAAGTACAGTAAAACGGCTAGATCAAACGAGGAACAACGTAAAAGAAAGCAGTGACTTTTCCAAATGACAGAATCACAGCGTTATACAGAGCTTTAGGATCTACCACTATCGCCAGAGTACCAGAGGTTGTCACAGTAAACACGCAGTGACAAAGGTTGAAAGTTATTACTAACGTAAGAGTACAGTATGAATTTCGACCGGAGTCATACCAACCACGTCCACTAGCAACCACAGTAGCCAGAATCACATACTGGGAGGAATGATGAGTCCATCCGTCGTATTAAGTGTAATTGTTTGACTACAGTATAAACGAGTGGCCTTGCCCTGTTTAGTCTTGTTCAGCAATATAGACAAGACTTCAATTTGCCTTATCACATTCTGAATACATTTGCTCATCAAAAACATTTTTTGGATTTGGTATGAAATTCTCAGACAATGCTGTTCATAGACCAGAATATTCTTTACACAGCGAACACTTGTGCTTCTTGTAGATTAGTTTGCCCATAGGAGGAAATGTTACTATGAAAGTAACTCATTTGGTTCAGGACCCAAAACATAAGCCAAGCCACAAGTGCACCGTACTCTTCAGATGATACGCATGGTTGAACTTATGAATAATTTTCATTGAATTCAAATAAAATTTTGATCGATCATGAAACAAGAATGCATTCAAATAGATATCATTTTAATTTGTGCTTGATTTGGTTTATGGTGCATAATTTGAGAATATTGTTCGATAAGTTGTGATATTCGGGTCAAAAGAACTACATGTACATACGGTTAGATAATTTCTCCTCAGCTTGACAGCGTCGTTTGTGCAAGACATAGGCGTGTCTCTTTGCTGGAAGGACTTATGAAGGAAAGAGCGAGTGTGTGAGTGGACCCAAAAAATTGTATCTATGTATACTGTATTAACGGTATGGTTTGCTTATTATATCTACGAATGTGTAGAGGTGTTTGTAGTGTTAACCCGTCAGCAAACAATATTTGGTCTACTGCAGTCGACAAGATAGATCCCTTTTTCTGTCAATATGTGTCGTATATTTTTTCGAAAGCTACAAACGGATCAGAATAAAATTATATCAAGGAATATTGGAAAAGGTGTTTCTTTACTTGATCTCTATTAACATTAGTTTCAATTTGTATGCATGTCTGAGGTCAACCTTATTCTGAAGAGTATACATCAAAACATCTGTAATTGCATAATAAACTATGCTTGCCATGCATAAGTACAGGGAATCTGCGTAAAGTGTAAGAACATGGCAATCGTTGAGATTAAATGTCGTACTACCAAAACGTTTCAAATACTGGGCCGACATGATAGACCTGTACTGACGTCCAGAAAGAAGGAAACTGGTTCGGACTGTTCAGCCAAACAAATCATTCAGATTTACATAAACTTGGATAATTCTGTTAAAACTCGTACATAATTCTTATTTATTACTTGTCGAATCTGACAACAGAATGATCCCAGGTTGCATGTGCAAACATATTGAGGTACTGACAGCTTCAGGTCACCTAAAGTAAAGATAATCATTCCTGGCTACAGAACTTGTGGTAACTAATTGCTGAACTAAACGTTGAATAGTGTTGACTTTACGTGCTCACTGACAGGCTACGTAGAAGGTCTTATACTGCGAAGTCAACATAGATTTGAAATATCTCAGGGCTAAACAATATGAGGTCAACTGATCGTGAACAGAGATAGACGAATCGAAATACTGCACGTAAACTTGATTTTTACAGACTATTTCTCTTGATAAATCCAAAGAACATAAAGATAACTCAGTATCATCCAGAACTGTAGTTTTCACAGCCCTGGAAAAAGCAAGTTCACGTTAGATTCAGCTCTTTCTAAATTCTAAAACGTCGAGCTGTGTACTTTTGCTTTTAGGGTAGTTCGAATGAAAATAAATATGCCCACCAGTGTACTTTTGCTTGTAGGGTAGTTCGAATGCAAATAAATATGCCCACCAGTGTCGAGTTAATAAGATGAAAGAAAACTTTATCACTTCGTATGTATCCCTACTGTTATTTTACCGGAGGATATTCATTTCTGCTGATAAGTCATAAATGATATTGCTTTTAATTTATATATTAATTAAAACCGCTCGTAGGGTCATAGTTCATCCATCTGGTCGAATGATTTGATTCAGATCGGAGTGTTCTGAATACTGCTTAAACTAGAGCACAGTCAAGGTGTACGCATCACCCGTCGAAGTGCTTATCATTGAACGCTCTTACATAAGAATGAAGTTGTGACTAGCGCACGAATATTGGGCTGTATGCAGCACACGGCTTAGATGTCAATACACTGGACTCGTCCATATGAGGTGATTCACATTTTCAGTAAGCAGCGATATCTTTTATGACAGATGTGAAAGCTGAACAATTCAGGATAAAAAACAATTGTTGGACAGTCTGATCACGATAAGACGCATTTTCTGTTCACCCACATGCATATGGAACTTCATTGAAATGATAACAGAGCCAAATTGTCCCACCACAACGCGTGCCTTACAACGATGTACGCTGGTGCTTTGAACAGATGCATCACCTGCACTCTCCTACAATTTTTCTACTATGCATAATGAGTATGTTGTCAACATTCGATTGAAGTCGTCATACGACGTCACTGGTGTACTATTCTCTTTCGTGAGGATGTTATAACGTTTACTTCTTCCTTTGTCAAGTACGCAAGGTAAACGTGATGGTTATAGTCTGTTTTTCAAGACCATGTGTTTCAGAGTGTTGTGTAGTATTGTCTGAGTAATATAAAGCTTGGGTATATCATCTAATTGATATGGTAGAACTTTGAATAGAATTTGACCTTGCAGCAAGCTAAAATCACTAGCTCTAACCTGCACAGGGACTTGAAGTTGGTCGAATCAATAAGCTTGTAGTCAAGGGGTGATAACAAGCCCGCAAAATGGTGTTGTTGAGAATAGATCTCAGCATTCAGCAGCTGAAAACCTTAAAATGGTTCTTGTATGTGTTAAATTTGAAGGCTTCAGGATCGTAAGTAGCGTAATGCCAGGTAAAGTTAATGGATCAGAAACCGTTGCTTTTTGTTGTTCCCCCGAATTATAGATTAAGTGTGTCTCATTCACTTTAGCTTGCTTGTGATGGTCGTGAACAGACAAACCTTTGACAGTCCGCGGAGATGAGTCTGAGTTAAGTGTACATCCTATGATACTTCTCTTTGCAATATACCTTTTTTTTATGATGCAAAGAACATCAGAATAACCAATAACAGCTTTTTGGTTGTGCTTAGATCTTGATGAGAAATCCCTTCTACCTTCGTAAATTGAGCAAACAAAACAAAACTTTACGATATCACTAAGGTCAACGTTCGTATATAAATCCTCCAGGCAATGCTTAGATTTTACAAAACATTCCTGAACCTTGTTTTCAAACCCTGAATCCAGAGTTGTTCTTTTGGAAGGTTCCTTCATCAGGCAGCAAGTCTTCAGCTTCTGTACATGTGGAGGAACCTTAGTGAAAGATGACCAAATCTTGCATGTGAAATTTGATATTTCAGTAGTATATATATCGTCGCGGAAGATCTTCCACCTTTGAGTTAGTGTAACATCTTATAAGATCACAATAGTGCGTCTTTTCTTACTGAAATTTTGCTGAGCATATCAGCAACGCTAGTTGAGTAATGTGACCTTGGCAAAGTGGTTTACTGTACCAACGTGGGATTTGAAGTATTTTTTGAGAAAGTCTATCAGTCATTAATCAATCAATGTGCATCTTTCCACAACTTACAGTTCGAAAGCCAGCCGTAATACTGTACGCGATAGCAAAACACAAATTTTATTTATACAATTTATATATTTATACAGATAATGTGCCCATTATCAAAAAACTATTCATTTTATTGGATTAAAATTTGAAATTTAGCGTTATGAACTATTTGTACGGTCTTTTCTTGAAAAAATGCTTATTCCGATCAGAATACTTTCTAGAAATGTCGATTCTGATCAGACTCGAACTTAAAGCTCAAACGAGACTTGAACATGCTTTCAGTACTCTACGACACTGTATAGGATGGTACAGCTGCTCAATTTAAGTTATACGTAACACAGCTGAGCAATCAACAAACTCTGATCCATTGCTACTAGGAGTTCTGCAAAAGACTACAGGTATGAAGCTGAAATGATAGGGGTACACTAGATTTAAATTCGTTGCAGAAAACCGCATCAGGAATAGAAATCCCAGACTTTGCAACTACAGAAGATAGTAACCCATCAATCTTATCTTGAAAAACCGTAGCTTAGACACACATAGTGAGGCATAGTATGAAGAAACATCTGCCAGATTTGATATTGCAGATAGCATGGAAAAGAAGGCTGCACATGATGCACAATCAATTGAACTCAGCTTATCAGTATTAAATATAATCCATTGAACTCAGATTATCAGTCCAAAAACAAATTCGTGAAGGTGGGTGTGCAATAACCTACTTGTCACAGCGTTCTCCTGAAATTCCACATTTTGGCAGTTGCGACAAACATCTATCAAATCCACCATGAGGTGGACCACTATGAACTGGGTTTGTGAGGTCCATAATATGTACAGCCTCTGCTCCCAAATATAACCATTATTCTCTGTATTCAATATTATGGCGATCAGTGCTCGATTTGAAGCCTGTAGCAAGACACCAAGTACATGAAGAGAGTAATTTAATGATACTGATTGCGTTCTCAAATGGTTGAGTGTAAGTCCACGTCTTTCCATACATACCTGATTTCGAAATCAATCTGTATTTTTTAATATGCCTTACTCATCCAACAGTCCACGGTTGAACTCGACGTCAAATTCTAGATCTTCACAACAGAATGTCATATGAGCACAACTATCATACAACAAACTAAAATTCTTAAGTGAATATTGTTTGCTAATCGTTATAGACCCAGTTACAACATGAAGCGAGTAAATAATTGTCCTTGTAAAAATCTTCAATTCTTGAATATGCACTGCAAGTACAATCCAGTCATTGGGCAATCTGAAACCAGTCATCATGCGCTTTCCTGGTTGTGGAAACCCATAAGAAGATTTATCTTTCACTTATACTTGACAGCTGCTTAAGAAGACCTATTTTTCTTAGAAGGATGATAATGTCCACAACACTCTGCTCTCTGGTCTACTAAAGCGGCAGTTGTGTTCTTCTACATGTGATTCACAATCTGTTTTTTCTTTTCGTCTATCTTAATGAGAAGATCCTCAGGTCTTTCATAGCGGCCAGCATCATGATTCAGCTTCAAGTCCTCCATTACACAGACCCAGTTGAACCGCCTTAGCTATACCTGGGTGCTCTGCAAGTTTTGGATATTTTTCTTGGTTTGTCATACGCGCTTCTTCTGTTCGTTTTTAAGGCCAGCAGATTCTTCTCTGATATCCAAATCCTTCTCTTTCACCATCGCGCAGATCGTATTTCGACACTCGCGTCATCGCTTGTACATGCAACGCAGGGTCCACTTAACTGCACAGCGTTCCGAACACAGCTCAGAGAAAAAGGTCCAAGTTGTGTGTAGAAGTCTGAATTCCGGGATCTTTCTGTGTTCGCTACTGGTTCAGCTCCAGGTGTCAAGAGGCGAAGTTGCTTTTTACGCTGGCTCTATATTCTTGTGCTGATCACGGCCGCATGGTAGGATTTTATGTGTGAGCTTACCTGTACCGCACCCGAATCATGTGGTCTGACTGTCCACCTGTCTTGAAGCTCTAGAATTCAATCTAACCCTAGTCTATGGAATTTACCATTTACTATTTTACCATTACTGCTTTGTTCAGTATATCTCTTTGAACTTTTCTTTCATCCTTCTTCATTTCCAATGCTTATAACACGCAATTTAATAGAAGATTTTGACAAGGAAAAGTTAGTTGCAGACAATTTAGTGTTTTGAAATCGCATATATACAGTAAGAAGTTTTAACTTATAATCTTGTGACTCTAACTTAACGATATGAAGACCATAGTAAATCGTCGTGAAAAGTAAAGTGGATTCACAGCGAATCACTGGAAGTATACAATATTAAATTGTAGGCCTTGCTCTGTTAAGGGAGATGGATTTATGTCTCGAATTTCAAAATTGGACCTATATATCCAACCTATAAAACAATCAAGGTAAGTATATTTTGCCAACGATCTTTACCTCGGGAACTGAGCACACCCGTTTGATAGAAGTTTAGCGAAATTGAGTTCGAGTTTGGTTCAAGCTCCGGAATGCTACATAGAGAATTTCGAGCTCCAAGGCATTGAACAAAATCTACGCGAGGGTTAGATTGAATATGGACAAGCCATAACAAAATACAAGAGAGTCCACATGGCTTACAATGATAGAAAGATAGAAACTGAAGGCAGTCAACCATAGAAGATAATTACAGGGGATGGAGATTATACCGAGATTGTATAGATACTGGACATGCTATGTTCTCTTTGATCAAACATTTATTAAAGTTATGTCGACTAAGTTTTTTAGCATAATTAACTTGTCACTCAGGGTATTAAAACATTCTAACAATGTGAACCTTTAGATAGTGGAGGGTATTCCATAAGTATGAAATCGTTGGTCCAAGATGCAATATGTCAGAAATATAAAATGCAAGATTGAACTGTCTGTTATATTTGAAACTGACGATCATGACGTGACATCTCACATTGCTAATTATACCATGATGTGACCTGCTCACATTTGAGCTTATCTACAAGTTTGTGTGACCAACGATGAGTCTCTTACAGAAGTCACTCGCTTTGCACTGAAAACAACTAACTCTTTCTGTAGTTTTTTAGTGTACCAAAGGAGTCTACGAGCTTTAGTCGCACTAATCCCAACCTCCTGGATCAAAATTTCTGCGAGTAAATTTGAAATTGTCTACACCAGACTGGCCACTAACTTTTGAGACAATCGAACACCTGGTAATCCAGTACATTACAGGAGATTTTAATCATCCAAGTCTGCATGGAAAACATACAAGTCGCCAAGAGTTTTTGCAGAAAATGTAGAGAAATTTGAAGGCCTGATTTTCAATACAAGATAGACATATGCTACATGACTCAATGCAGCTTTGAATTCTCCCAGCCGCAATTTCGACAAGAACAATTATTGAACAGCTTGACCAAAGAAGAACTGAATATGTACATAAAATGAAAGCGAGGTTGAAACACTGGAAGAGCAAGATTTAACAGAAATTTGAGGCAACATTATTTCCTACCCAAGATGTTGGTATATGAGCTCCACAAGGTCGTCAAGGAAACGTAGCACCACCATCGTACAATGCCGAGTTACATTTAACGTGTATGACCAACTGATCAGTGAACGTAGAAGAAATTGGCTAGCCGAGCAACTGGCAATAAATTCACAAATTATGACAGCCAGTTTTGTATTCGAACATGAAAATCATTCTTGCACCTCTGCATCTTCTTGCCGGCCCTATATACAGCAACAAATGCAGATCAATCAAAGATAAGACAATGATGTATTGACGAAAATCATTTCAGAAGATAAAAATGTCTTCGACTTGCTATGAATTCAGCCATGAGAACCTCCGGTTGGACTAGAGGTGACGATATTACCTGATATTGCTCTGCAGTGCTGGAAATAAAAGGTTTTACAGGAGCATTCACCAATTTTCGACTAATCTCCACCTGAATCATGTTCATGTATATGATAGATTAATGGTATGTGAGTTGACGTTTGTATTAGAAAAGTCAAGGTTACATAGGATAGTCAGATTTATCCACTTCAAATTGTTTGAAGCTTTGTGCTATTGCAAGCTCCTTCATTTTTAAATCAACAATCAACTACAAAGCAATCAAAGGGCATTTGAAACAAACTAGGAAGACCTAGTTCCACTCACCATTTTGGGCCAGTCTGTTCTGAATGCCACTGTTGAATATATACTCATCTGCACAAGAATGCCACTATAGTATCCAAGCCACACACCCTGACAAGAAACAGTAATTTAACTTGATGAATACTGTCCAGCCTCATCTGAAACATATAGAGTAAGAAAATACAAACTCTTACTCCAACTCAAACAAATCCAACTTGAACTACCCGGTAAGAGAGTAAATAAAACAAATAAGACCTGAAGAGTGATAGCTTGAAAAACAATTCAATCCGATCATCCATTCTTTTTCCATTCAAAGAATGCAAAATGCTTGGTTCTTGACTTGTCAGAAAGGTCAGATCCACATAAAACGTCAAGAAGATACTTCAACAAACTCCTTGTCTGTAGTAAAGAGCTAAATTGTCACCTGTGCTCCCCATTTCAAAGTAAAAGCATAGAACACCCCAAGAGGGTATCCTATGGCGTAAAAAGATCCCAGATTGATCCACGCTCCTTTGTGTTGCCATCCACATCCCTTTGCAACACCTACAAAAATAATAAACACATGCAAGTTCTTTTATTTTAGCCTGCGAGCCATGCAGTAACAGCAAATCAACAACATTAATGATCTCGATGAGTGAAGAAAATGATAATGCTTATCACAAATGAAATTGAAAGTAGGCTTCAGTGGTTGTCACACATGTCTACACTGAACCATGTAACAACGATGTGCAAAGATTTTCTCTGGTTTCACAATCGTCATGAAAGATGGATAGAAGTTCAGACACTGATGCAATGCCAGGAGTTCAATAGAAGGATGTATATGAGAGAGCAAGACAACAAACCTGAACAAATAGACTGTACACCCTCTAAGAGAAAAGTGGCAGCCACCCAAGGCAACCATTTTGCCACAGTATCCACCACCAGTGGATCATTCGTAAACGCTAAGGGCCAAGCGTTTCGGAAAATGATAAATATCAAACCAATGGTACCAGTGTACACAAGTACCAGTAGGAGACCTATGCTGAACGCATATCGTGCCGAATAGGGATGCCCAGCTCCAAGTTCATTCGAAACGCGTGTACTGAATCATTGGAAATGTGATTGCTCATTAAAACGAAAGAACATTAATAATAAGCAACTCCTGGGTCAAATGGCTTAAGAGGAAACACCTAAAAACTCCTAACCAATATATTCAGGGGATCTACTGAACAACTATGATAAGAGAAGGAAGATCGAAGGAGCATGGCCTCGTCAGTTCAAAGTTGAGCTTTAATTGAGGTTTGGGTTCAATGCATAACACAAATACCAGAACTTGATGTATTGATGCCAGAACTCCTCACCTAACTGCCGCACCTAGAGAAATCGAGCCCATGTATGTCAATGCAGCTGAGCCCAAACTGCAAGGTGCCAGATTCGTGTAACATATGTAAGCACTGTAATAAAACTCAAAACTCATCTAAAGCATTTGCTTGCTAACAGCGACATACACAGTAGGACAAGATCCACGAAAGAAAGTTCATCAGTGTGATTCTCTTAAACCAGCTGATCAAGTAAAAAACTAACTACAAAAGAGGCTTTCGACGATTCTTACGCAATATAGAGAATGGAGCACTCGAACTGAGGATTTGGAAGAAGTCCCGCTACTGGAACCATAAGTTCGTAAGCCCAGTATTCCAAGCTGCAAGTTTCCAGAAGATTGTGACAATGTTATGTATACAGAGAAGATGCACTTTCAGAGAGTTGAATGTCGACCTGAAAAAATCATGGCCCTCATATTCAAGCTGTACACCATGATCCACATTTAACTGGCGACCGAATGATCAATATAAAAAAATATGAAACGTCTAGACCAAATAGTGGTCCAATGGTCAAGCGCTAGGCATCCCCCAAGATTTCTTCTTTTATTTATGACGTTGGAATCTTTTTCCATCAAACATAAATGGTGCATGGTTACAAGAATCGTAGAAATTTTTTTACCACTTCATAGACGTTGATGGTATGGCCACCTTTAAGAAAGTTGGAAGCGCACCAAAAGCTTCCCTCGAAAGTCCCCTCCACGTTTTTGCATAGGTCTTGGAATTTAACGAAATCCATGCCAGTAAAAACAATATATTCCAAAAGTGCGAGGCGCAAATGCTTATAGCTCCTCCAATGAATCCGAAGTCAAGTTTGTTGATCACGATGAAGCAAGTTGGAACATGCAGAATAACAGTAAACACAGAGGACAGGAACTGGGGAATAACAATGTTCTGAGTTTGGAGATAGATTACAAGCACTTGTTCGATGGCAGAGGCAAATATACTCGGAGATAACCATCTAAGGTACAGTCCTGCCATTCTCGAAATTTCTTCATCTTCACCCATGTACACCAAGATTGGCTCTATATTCCACCAAAGAGCTACGATCGGGATGCACATGGAAAGGGAAACAATGCATCCAGCTTGAAGGTAAATGCCCAGCAGTGGGTACTTTTTCGCCCCAAAGGCTTGTCCGCACAATGTTTCAAGCCCACTAGCGAAAGCAAGCTGCATCCCAAAATATGTTATAAGCAGTGGGCATGTCAGAAATCACTGCGAGCCCAATCCGAGCTTTGTTATAGCCCTGAAGGTTTAAAAACGTCCATGTACAATTTACAAAGACCATGTCCTATAAAGTGCAATGTCTCTTCATGCTTTAATGAATGAGCAGGAACAATCGGAACACAATGTGGAGGAACACGAATAAATGAAACACACGTGGAAGCTCAACATAGAATGTTTCACTATAACTGAAATGAAAGTAGGCATATCAGTATATGTAACAGTGTCAGAGTGACAAACTTCAAGCTAAGAAAGGGAAACGGACCATCAAGGTGTAACCTGAGACGCTTGAGAGGGAAAGAGCAATAGTCGAGCTAGACAGCTCCAGTGAACCAAGATGTCCAATAAACATTGAAGTCACAATGGAGAGCGAATACATAGAAAAAAAGGAACCAGCTATAGGACCGGCCAGCTTGATCTGCTTCATTGTCTCCAACAACATCGGATATCTCCTCGTTGTAGAAGCCCTATGCAAATACTCAGGATCGTCTCTATTTGCAGATGGTGAATGCTGTGACTGGAGAATAAGGGCCTCCGTCTCAGAAGTAGAAGATTCCATTGAATGTGCTGCTTCAGTAACCTAGCTCTGCGAATAGGGCAGTTATTGATCTGCATTGGTGCATGAAACAAACCATCACGTTGGGCATTGGTTAACAATTGTTTCCACATTCCCTACATCATAATTTACACCTTGTTGCAGTTCAAGGAGTTTCGGGACTTCACTACTGTAGTGATAAATGACGCACCACAGCAGCATCTTCAACAATTTACTACTATCTATATTGCCTCTCCTCGCTTGCCAAACTCTCTGAATGAAGTGCAGATGGCCTCGCAAAAAACACTGATCTACTAATTTTCTCGTAATTTGCACTCAATAGGAGATCGGCCTTTGTTTACCTCCATTCCTGAGCTCATAGACCTACACGAAACCAACAGTTTTATGATCTACGGGGAACTGAGGGCCTCCAACCCTCGCACAAATGCGCTCTCCGGAAACTGAAGTAGAACTAAACAATTGGTGTTGAGAACTGAGAGGATCTTCCCACATTCCAGCCTAAGTACATTTGTGCTGGAGCACCAAATTCGCTTTAAGTGTACGAATCGCACCTTGATGTCGACAAATAGGAGGAAGAAGAACTCTGAGAAATGTTGAACTTACCGAGAATATGAATGATTGCACAGCAATTCGGGCTAATTCACTATTTCTTCCAAACTGACATATTTAAAAAAGATCTTGATGTCTGAACTATCAGACAGACCACGAGTCTATCAACATTCTGTTGTCGTGGTCTTCATACAGTAACAGGGGGAGGTTCTCATCTCCGTTGACAAAAGTCCGAAAATTCTCAGCTATAACAGAGAATTAACGACCGATACTAAGGTCCAATTGCCAGAACCCCAGTTGAGAAGCTAGAATAGTACACTGACGCATGGTGTAACTTTATGCTCAACTACGCAAGTCCTACGATTATCCATCCATCCTACAACCAAAATCCAATACGGTACTGTATTGAAGCTGAATGTCACAACACCGTACCCAGTACAGACTTCAGATCTGCACATACCTTACGGAGTGCAGTCACTGAACGTCGTCAGTCCAATTCACATCTCGTGAGGCCTGTAACATAGTATTTGATAACAAGACAAGCAGGACTACCTTTTCTCCATACGTCTCCATTTCTTTTCTATTTTGTTTTTATTTATTCTTTTCAGAACCATCCGATTAGTTTGATTGACTTGGACTGCAACGATCTACGTTCAAACCAGAGTTAATTCTTGGCTAAGGTTAAGAGAAAGGAATGTCGAAGGAAACCATACAGAGCAACCTAGACTTTTTCTAAATAAGGTGAAGATGCATTAAAATGACAGTCAACTTTCTAGAGTCGATACAAATTATTATATTTCTAGTTGAGGAAAGAATACAAAAGATAAACATACTTAGATTTAGGTTAATGATAGAATAATTACATAATCTTTAGAAAAATATATAGAAAGTTTTCATCAAGCCCCTAAATTGAAGATTTCATACTACTTAATTTCATCTAATTTATTTTAATTAATCAGATCAAACGATCCATAAACAAAAGAGCATATGATACCCATCACATTGTTCACCTCAATTTCGCGTTGTAGATTGTTTTCAGTAACCCAGAAAATATGATCCAAAATGTAGTCAAGTATGAAAATTCTTGCACCCTAATTAGTGAACATGTCAAGATTCAAATTTATGTTTCCAATGACTTCAAGGATGTAAACATTCTTCATTACTCTATATTTATAAACCTTGTTGTCACGCTTGCGACAAATACCCTCATAAATCCTATCACACATATAATTGTATCTACAATTATAACCTTATCTTCTCAAATCAAGTATGATATGATAGTATGGTCTAAACTTCACCCACCACAAACCAAGATATCCACATTCACATAGTTGTTAGCAATAACATGTGAGATACTCACATTCATGCAACATCACAAATATCAAATCTTTATTAGTGTCATTGTGTATAATTACTCTTTGTGAATTAGATTATGTTAGTGATTTTTTTATATATCTAGAGTGATAACAAACTTAAACATGAGAAGTAAAGATGTTCATAGAAATAGATCAAAGAAAATCTCATTATTTATAAAATAAATTCCTAGAGTGAATCAAAAAGCTCTAATGCATGGTTGGGCAAAATCCAAGAGTTTAGAATCCTATGAAAAAACAATCAAAGGAAAACTTGATCGTATGAAGAATAGTAGAATTTACTAAGAATGAACATAAGTCCGATTGAAATTTTTGGCATATCAAATAAATTATAACACTCTAATTAAATTTGGGTCCAGGTTCAGGTAGAGGGCTGCATCCGATACGAAACCCAAAAATTATGTTGGGCGGACGAAGTCATTAGAACAAGACGATGTTATGTTATCCAAGACCTCCGAGATAGACTTTCTTGTAAATGATAGGCGGAGAGCTTAGAGGCTATGGTCGGGTGATTCACATAAGCGACGAGAACTTGAAAGCATCCTCGCAAAGCTTTTTCTAAGTGTCGGAAGCGGACTGTTGTGTAAATCGTCAAAGGTTGCTGATGACAATAAATGGAGATATCTGAAGTGATTATGCTGACATGAGTAAAGCAACGAATGATAAGAGCTCAGCTACAAGCCCAGCTGGTCCATCATCGTCTGCATAGAATCCTACCTCCTTGGTGATAGCGTAATTCTCTCTCTTCTTATCCAAATACTTCAGTAAAGGTACTACACTATCCTGCAAGAAATCGGGGTTGACAACATCTAACTACTTTGGTTCCTCATCTGAAGCCTTGTTCTCTACTTTGGATCTTACATCTTCCTCAGGTGATGGCGGTGATGGAATCTCAAGAGCATCTACCACCGTCTCTCCAACCTACTCGAGTATTTCTTCACTCAGCGTGAGCTTCTTTGCCAGCTCTTCACTTGTCTTCGGCTGAGTTACTTCCTTAGTCTTCATTGACCGCATCTGCTCTGAAGGTGGTAGATTTGGATTTACCGTCACCATCCATTCCTCCGAAGGTTCTGCTACTTCTTCCATCGGGACTTCAACCTGTATTCCCGAAGGTCTTCCTTCTACTGCCTGAAGAGTTGGCTCCTCCCTCTTCTCTTCGTCCGTCTTAGAGGCAGCTACATCCGACTTTGCCACACTACTCTCCGAAGAATCGGACACAATTCTCCTGCGATTCGCTTTCTTCTTTGGCTTGGCCCGGGTCCTCAACATCCTAATCCTCGTCACCTGTGTCTCGGCCATCCGCAACTCTGGTCTTCGACCTTCTCCATTGTCAGCGATTACCTTCCGTCTCTTCGTCGGTCTCCTCTCTGGTTGTTCTCTAGTCGCGACAACGTCCACTTGAACTGGCCCGCGTGTTGTCCTTTGAGGTGGCTCTTCGGGTTGGACATTGTACTCCTCGTCTGTGTACTCCTCGTCTGTGTACTCGCTTGACTCAATTGCCATTACCTCTCGCTCCTTCTGAAATCGCTTTTCCTCATCCTTCGTCAATAACCCCATCCGTCAATAGAAATTCACTAAGTATGGGATTATGTGCTTAATCAAACCTCCCTCCATCGAGTGCTGACATTGGTCCAAATTAGGATGTTGAAGATCTTCGCCCAATGAATTGGCTTTTCCTTCAAGACGCGTTTGAAGAAGCTGACGTGCCATGCGGTGACATAGGTCGTGCGTTGCGGTTGCAGAATATGCATTACGCCTAACGCAATCGCATGCTTCTTCGGGTCCTTGTAATTTGCCGTCTTCCATCCATTCGTCCCCGATCACGCGTTCTTGAAGAGTGGGGCAAAGGTAAATTCTTCTGCGCGCGTAATCTTGACACTCTCGTTCTCTAACATGTAGTATCCATACTTCCCTGCACACGGTCCTAGAACCTTCGTCTAGTGATCGATTGTCCATAGCATAGGATTACCCCGGAGATCATCCCCCTCGTTACGATTCTTATCCATCATCTCCTTACATATGGTCGTCGAAACGCAATTCCAATCTCATAGCAAGAAATCCAGATGTAGATTGACGAGCTCTTGCCGATAGGATCGCAACTCCGCATAGGGCATCTTAAGCGATTAATTTCTATATCTTAGCTATCGTGGGTGGCGTCATGTCTCTAGTCGCATCTTCGCTGCTATCAAGGTCGATCCATTGCAATTTTCTCTCTCTCTCTCTCAATGTCGCGATGTCGACGCGAATGTGTTCGCGTCGTGCCCTTAACCTCGACGCCCTAACGAATTCACACGCGCGCGAATTGGTACTCCCAACGCGTGCGGATTTTGACCAGCTCTTTGCGAATTCAAATTGAGATTCGTTGTCTTCACCGAAGGTCTGGCTATTGCATCATCAAAAATGGATGCGCCGATGATCCGAAGGGCCGAAGGTCTTCGACCGAAGACAGATTCCACAAATATGTTTAAGTTTTTGTTATTTCTGCAAAAATCAAAAGAACTAAACAACATAGTTATCAATGTCATATTGAAATGACAACGTCATCTCTATAAAGACTTTTCATCGTGCAAAACAATATGAACTACAAGAAAAGAAGAAAAATGAGTCTTTGGACATCAGTGTACATTAAGGCAGCCTCTATGGAATAGCAAAGAAGTATTAGATTTCAATGATGAGCACATGAAATTGAAGGCTTGGAGTTTAATCTACATGGGGTCTACTGGAGTCTCTATGCAGACTAAAAATGTGTTGGGAGGTAGAGAGTCTGTTGCTCCATAGAGTCCAGTGATTTCTGTGGTAACCCACTTTTTGTTTTTGTGCGGAATTTGAACATTTTTGGAAAACAATTACCGCAGCAACAACTGTAAATAGTAATCGGTACACTAAAATAGAGTAAAAATGGAAGATCACAGGTCACAGAGAATCATCGAGTTGGGCGCAATGTCGAGGACAAGCACCTAGGCCGGAACGGACGGTTCCTACTGAGGGGACGCCTCTGGCGCCTTTGGCAAAAGCTTTCTTGTTGATGGGTCTTCGACGAAGCGTCTTCGGCGCAAGCAGGAGAAAGCATCTTCGGCTCAGACCCCTGCAGAAGAGCTTTCGCTGAAGACGTACGAGGCCCGGGACGGAGCGCCTGCGTCAAGGGAAAGCGACTTCGTCGCTAGACTACGCCTTCGGCGGTAGACTCCTTCGCCCGACCGCCTTCGGCGCAAGCGCTTTTGATGTTAGGTTTCGCCTTCGGCAGAAGGTCAGAACTTCGCCTTCGACGAAACGCCTTCGGTAGAGACATGTGCCTTCGGCGGAAGAAGAAACAACACAGACGACGGTGAGATGCAGTGACTTCGCTCGTGCATCTTCGACCGTACGCCTTCGGCAGAACGCATGCCGTGAAAGAGAAACCGGACGGAGCAAGAAGCTTCGCCGCAACGCCTTCGGCGATGCGCCTTCGGCAGAAGCGAAAAGGACAAAGTAGTCGGCGGAAGACGTGTCTTCGCCATGAGCGCCTTCGACGGTAGACGCCTTTGGCGATACGCAAGCGGAGAACAACTTCGGCAAAAAACGGTGAAATCAAGATCAAACGTACACGCGTGTGAGTCCGCACAACGGCAAAGCGTGAATTCGAGCGTGCGAATTGGGCCGTTACGCCTCCACGCCGGCATCGCATTCAAGCGAGATGCGGCCTGTCCAAGTGTTGAACTTTGGGCGATCTTGATCGCCAAAAGAAGAGAAGACCTTGCCGCGCTCTCATTCTCCCATTTTTGATTTCGCATTCACCTGAGTCACAGCAATCTTGCGGAGAGAATTTTGAGAGTGAAGGGTGAGCGAAGCGCGCAGCAATCGAGTGCGCGGAAGTAGAATCTTGCGGGAGTCTTGGGGAGAATTCGCGGAGGACTTGCAGAGTGATCGTTGAGTGTGAGGAGAGTGTGCAATTGCAGTAGACTCACGAATACCTTGCACGGAGAGATTGCGGGAGTGCGCAAGGAGTGTAGGGAGCCATACAGCGAATTCGCTCGAGCTCCTGACGCGTAGAGAGAAGCAAGAAGTTCTCGAAGGCAGAGAGAAGAAGTGTGCAGGAACTTGCAAGAA